CCTAAAAACATTATAATGGACTACAAGTTCCCGTCTATCTGTTGGCTTAAGCCTCAATACCGACATGTTAGAGTTAAGAACTTAAGGTCTTGTCTTATAAAACCTGTGTATAACTTTCACGGACATTCCTTTTCCTGGCTATTACAAAAAGCAAATATTCTGTGCATATCAGGGAGGGGGGAAAAAAAGCATACATGTTCGGTATGGGACATTCCAACTCCATCTTCAACTATTTGTTCTCCTCCTTCTATATGTTGAACAATTCCAACTAATTTTCTGGAATAATCTGAGATTTCTTCTGTGAAAGTTCTTATACAGTGAGCCATGTCTAAAATGGATGCACGAATCTGGTTTGCTTCTGGTTCCAAGACAGAATGCTATTAATTAAAAGCAACATATCAAAGATCAATCATAAATATCTTCCTTAGTAATATTTTCTATTTTACTACATATTTAATATATGTGTGTGTGTATGTATATGTGTATATATACATACACATATATATATGAAAGGCAAGTAAGTATTTAAAACCATCTTGTAATTTAAAATGCAGTCAGGAGTTACAGGTTATGCTGAGACTAATATAGGCATTTAGCAATCACGCAAGTAAACATGCAAATTTGCCTGTTTACCATAATCAGTTATAAAGAAAGAAGAGTGGTTAGACTGGACAAGGTTGGGTGAACCTTGTGTTTGCATGATAGAAACAACTTTCAGAACTGGTGACTCAATGCTGTAAGAAGTTCATAAGAGCATCAGATAAAGGGACTGTCTGTCAATATATAGATAACTTATTGTGGTCTTAGAAATAACGGGGTTTTTTTCCTTTGTAATTTTACTGTGGCAGTTCTGTGAAATGAAGGGAAAACAAAAGAACACTATGAAGTTACTTCTATAAAGACATATCAGGAATCTACCCTCCTTTCTTAATAATTATTAGCAGTACCTTATGTCCTTGATGTTTCCCATATTCTTTGCAGACACAACACATAAGAGGACTTGCCTGACAGCCCTCTTCTAAACAAACAAACTCAATAGCATGCACTTGGTGTTGGGAGCACATGGTCTTCTCATGAGGCTTATCAGCAAGAGGTACACGTCTGTGTTTCGCTAGTGTCTTTGTAGAATGAGTAAGCTGGGAACAGTCTGCACACAGGTGTGTGGCACAAACAGTGCAATATACAGATGCAATGTGGGCTTCATCTTCATCACAACGAATGATACTCTAACAAAAAAAAAAAAAAAAGGACAAAAATGAAGTTGTTAACATCTAATCCCAATAACTGAGGAATACCAGAAGACCTGCCACCAATATAAGCCTGAAAACAGTCCCTGTTTAAAAGTTACACAATAATAAATATTTGGACTACTTTGAGAATTTTAAGTTTTCAATAAACTTTTAAAATACAAGTCAGTTTCCTTTACAGTCAACTCCAATAAATTATTCTAGAGGTGGTCATTTATTTTTTATAAATCCAAACTTCAGTGGAAGTTGTAATGAACAAAGAACTACAAAGTTACAGACAGACAAAACACCAATGGACAAATAGGCACCTAAAGACAGTTATCTATTCCTACAATGGCACTGCATGATACTTTTTGCATACCAGTTGTTAATACTGAAATTATTAAAGCAGTTAGTTTTGATAATGAAGTACTATCACATGATGTAGTGATATCAAATGACTCTAAAAGGTAACTATTCCAGAAGAAGAGTCTTTAGGAAGAGTTTCTAAGAAGTTTTAGAAAACTGTCTTTAAATCACTATAACTAAAGTATACAAATGAGTAACCATTTCTAAAAATCTTAAAAGCTTAAAAAAGGGGAAGAGAGTATGCATGCTTGGCAATACCTTTCTATTTTCTGCTTTAGTCAGTACAGATTATCATTTAAATATGAAGAAATTAATTGAAGCCTTAATACTAGATACTGAAAGAAAACAGCATCATTATTAGTGAAATTACATTTGGCAAAGAACTGTTTTTCATTTTTTTTCTATCCAGAGATAACTTTAAGCAAATGCAAAAAACTTTACTTTTTTAAAAAACTCAGTACCTCTCCAGATAGACCAACGGCTTCTTCTGCCATCCCACACTGTCCAGCAGGTCCATTCTGCAACCGTTCCAAGAGTTCCAACAAAGCAAAATTCTTTTTCAAGCCCCAGACACCAGAATCTCCTATTTTTGAGGAACAGTTAAATGAAGGGGAGGAGAGAAAGAAAAACTTTAAGCTTTAATACCATCATGAGAAGTTCCCCAAACCACAGATGAGATTCTGACAAATACTAAGGTCACATTAACTATAGCGATATCAACTGGAGTAAGATACAACTACCACTTTCTCTATGTAAGCTCACACTACCTTTCCATCTTCTTCCTTCCATTATGGAACTATTTAATATTTATGCAGATTTTCCCTACTTAGAAGGTGCCAAGATTATGAAAAATTTACAAAAACTCAGTAAAAAAACATGTAAAATAATCCACAATAGTTAACAACTAAAGACAAGGAACACACAAACTCTAATGTGTGTCATAAAAATTAGTATTTTGCATAACTACATACAGTGAACATTTCTACTGCACTAACAGAAGCTGTGAAGAATTCACTGAAAAACCTCCTCCTATTCCCTCCATCACAAGATGCAACACCTATTGCAGACCCAGTCCAGCAAAGACCCGAATAAGAGTTACAACAATATTCAGAAACACAGACCCACATACAACACTATTTGATATAGCTGAAGGTATCTCATATTCCCTAGAGCAAAGCAGAAGTCTATGTCTACTCCTGTATTATCCTCATTTTGTAGAAGTTAACATGAAGCAACACGATGAGAAGGAAAACCAGAATTGCATCCCAGTGTGCTGCTAAATGCTACCTGCACAGGCTATCAGCACCTCCTCCTCCACTGCCCCTCTTGAGGAAGTTGTAGGCTGCAGTGAGGTCACCCCTCAGCCTTCTCTTCTCCAAGCTGAACAAGCCAACTGACCTCAGTCGCTCCTCCTAAGTCTTGGCCTCAAGACCTTTCACCATCTCTGTTGTCCTCCTCTGAACACACTCTAATAGTCCTTCCTATATCAAGGCACCCAAAACTGCACACAGTACTTGAGGTGGGGCCACACCAGTGCAGTGTAAGAGTGGGACAATCACCTCCCTCTATCAGTTAGCTATGCTGTGCTTGATGCACCCGGGGGCATGGTTGGCCCTTTTGCCTTCCAGGCCACACTCTTACTCACAATTCAATTTGCCATCAACCCAAACACCCAGAATTCTTTCTGCAGGGCTGCTCTCCAGACTCTCATCCTCCAGTTTGTACATATAACCAGTATTATCCCAGGATTAAACATCTCTGCTTTGTCTATGTCCTTATTTGTGACGTGACTGACCACATCAAGCAACAGACCAATGTTATCTCTGATCCTCCTTTTGCTGTTAACATATTTAAAATATTAGGACTATTAGTCCTTCACAGTGCTGGCCAGCTTGAACTCTAATCAAGCTTTGGCCACACAAATTTTCTCCCTACAATGGCCAACAGCATCCCTGTAGTCCTCCTGTGTCACCTGTCCTTGCTTCCAATGTCCATACACTTTCCTCTTCTGCCTCAGTTCTGGAAGATCCCTGCTCAGCCAAGCTGACCTTCCACCCTGCTTGCTTGACTTCCAACACTTTGGAATTGCCTGCCGCTGGGCTCTTAAGAGGTGGCTCTTAAAAAGAGATTTACATGTAATGCAGAAAGCACCTAGCAACTTCCTCTCAGCAGAGTTGTTATACATAAAAGAAAAAACCCCATATATTTTAGTAGTATACTATCAGACGTTCCTCAAATAGGTATTTTGCCATTTTCAAGGACTGACTACACAGAATCTGAGGTTATCCTCAAAATATGACATTGAGAAAGTTATACTTCATTAAATGCAATAGGCTGACTAGCATTGCTGAATCACAACTATATACTTTTGGAAATCAGGAATGACCAATTACAGATGGATGATCTGAGAATAGAGAGATGTTTTTAATAGAGCTTAGTGTTGAATTCACTGTGAATTTCCAGAATGAGTGTCAGTTCTGTGTGTAGGTTTGGTTTTTATTTCCTTCTTTTCTTCTTTAAAAATCGGGGGCAGATCAACTTTTGAAGTTGTTTACTGCCCAAACTAAACCCTTACTACTGCACAGTTTAGAATCAGTTTAACTCCTAATTGATACTAACAAGGCTGTTCATATATAGTATCAATATATGCCAACCCAGGTAGAGGGTGTACTTACTTGCCAACGATTCCTAATTAGGAAGGAACAAGTAAGGAAATGCATGTGCTCTTCCTCCAGCCTCAATGCTATGATGAGCTCTTCTGCTGTTGTCACAGGGATTTTATTACAATCAGTTCACCAAAACCGGTAGAGCACAGATATATAAACCAATCCTCATTAAAATTTGCAAACATCCTGTTTTCCTAACAAATATCACAGAGTTAACCTATGAATGCCTATCATCTTGTAACATTATTTTTACCAGCTCTTGAAACAACGATCTGAGAACAAAGACAAGCTCAAGAAATTACTTCATTATATCCAATATTAGTGCTGAATACTGAAAAGGAAAGCAAGATGTGGACTTATGTCTTTGTCAGATGTTTACATAAGTGTACAGAAGCTAGTAACTTCAGAAAAAGAAATAAGGGGGTTTTTGCTAGCTTCGAGTAGAATGATAAAAGGCACAACACTACTGGTAGTGCCCAGAGTAGTGACAGATGTAGATTTCTGTAGCTAAGCCTGGAAATACCACCTTGTATTTAAACAGAATCTGTAGGACCTGAAATTGATTCACTTATTTTATGAGAGAACTTTTGAACTGTGTTTGTAAGACAAAAAATGTTGCTGCTGTTACTTTTTAGAGTGTGGGATACCACTATCTGGAGAAAATGGCATATGCATTTGTAATTCAAATGCTGTACAAAAAAAAAGTGCTATAGTTCTTTATTTAACTCAAGGCATTTATTCAATTTACACATTGCTTCAAGCACAATCTGTAAAACAGAATTTTAGAAAGCAATGCCAGATCTGTAAAAAAGTTGGGCTGCCTCTCATAATCCAGATGCAAAGACTAGCAGAACACCAACTGGAGCTTGAAGTTGGTTCCAGATTAAGCCTAAAAACTCTTGGTACTTCCAGTCCACATATCTGGTGTCTGACAGAAGTCTGCATCTGACACGAACTCACAAAAACTGTATCCCACATATTTTCACAAAGATAAAGCCCAGGCTACTTGAGTTGTCTGGTTCTCTTGAGTGCCAGAGAATAACCAGCATTTTCATGGTTCTAAGAATATGGATCTTCACCTCCCACAGGAATATGGATTTGCAGCACACAGAGTATACACTGCTATAAAGGCTCTTTGTAGAACTATATGAACACTGTTCAAATATAGTCACTGCATAAAAGGCAACGCTTTTAAGAGCTACATGATTACATGATACAAGAGCTATTAATGCTTTAATATGTTGCAATAACACAAAAGCAAAAGAAACCTGCAAAACCAAAAGAGATCTGCAAGTTCTCCTATCTTCACCTTCAGCTTGTTAAGAATCATTCTCTGTATTGGTTTTGGCTGGGATAGAGATAGTTTTCTTCATAGTAGCTGGTATGGGGCTATGTTTTGGGCTTGTGATAATCACCAAAACAGTGATGATGACACACCTGTATTTTAGTTTTGCTGACCAGTGCTTACACATAGTCAAGGCCTCTTTCTGTTTCTCATACATCCCACCAGCAAGTAGGCTGGGGGTGCATGAGAAGCTGGGAGGGGGCACAGCTGGGACAGCTGACCCCAACTGACCAAAGGGATATTCCAATTCCATATGACATCATACTCAAAAAAAAAAAAAGCTGGGTTGAAGGAGGAAGCAGGGAGATCTTCCCAAGTAACCAGTATGGGTGATAGAGCCCTGCTTTCCTAGAAATGGCTAACACCTGCCTGCCAGAGGGAAGTAGTGAATACCTTATTTTGCTTCGCTTGTGTGCGCAGCTTTCGTTTCACCTACGAAACTGTTTCTCCCAACCCACTTTTGCCCTTCCAATTCTCTGCCCCGTCCTGCTGTGCGGGAGTGAGTGAGCAGCTGTGTGGGGCTGAGCTGCCCACTGTGGCTAAACCATATCATTCTCTTTTACTTCAAGAGCTATGAAACAAGAAAATGAGTCTGGCTTTTGATCTTAAGACTTCAAAACTTATTTGAAAAACATGCACGTGCTTTTACTACCTGACAATATTTTTCCTGCAGTACTGTTTCAAAGAGCAGAGCTGCATCACATGGCTAGGCACAATTTTGTGGAAGACTAGAATGATCACAAGCCAACTGTTTTCCCATCAAGGGGAGCAGAACAAGTAGTTTCATGAGGTGCATGACACATCTGGCCAAAGTCAGGGCAACAATGCTATGGTACCTCTGAAGAGGGACAAGAACAGGAACTAACATATCCACACTGTATATCTCATTGTTTTGTGTAGCTTCCAGTTTTGCTACATGAAACTTTCTTTCCTAGGCATTCTTCCCCACAGTTTAAACCATTGACCATAATATTTTCAGGGGCCAAACTAAAAATAGAAGTTATATGCCTTACAGACAAAAGGCAGAGTTCAGAGAACAGATGAATACTGTTTTCCTAAAGCTATAAAAGGAAGCATATATAAGCTATTCCACCCTCCAGCACCCTCAGCTGGTAAAAAAACATTTGACTATCTGTTTAAAAATAAAATTATTTTCAGTAAAAAAAACATTCATTTTAGCAAATCTGCTGTTTCTGGAAATGGGACTATCAAGGTTCTGGTTAGTAATTTTGAAATTAGGTATAAAGCAAGGGTATGTCAGTGCTCTCTGCAGTTATTAGTTCCACAGTGGAAGCCTTCTCTGGTACAGATGGCATTACCAACACCCAATCTAAGCTCAGTGCACTCCACAAAAACTCCGAACAAAAAAAGAAGTATTTTAAATTTTGTTTGGCACAGATCTTGATGCAGTTTACAGAACTTATGTTTTGGTCCTCTACAACTACAGTTAGCACCAGCAGTCATCTGCCTTGATATATTCTGACTTCAGGGCTTAGTTGTTTTTTAGCTCTAGCACTCCTAGCAGGATCACAGTGTTTTTCATAACACTGAGCAAGGAAGAGTCAGCCCTTATTAGAAGCTGAAGAAACACAAAGTGCAATATCCACTTTTAGAACCTAAATTATGTCAAACCGATTTGTAAACAATCTGGATTTGCTGATGCTGTATCTAGACAGATACATTTCTAGACACTAACTCCTAGAAAGCAAAGCACAGAAAAGTGCTTCTACAGTGTTTACAGTGTTTAGACCAGCACTGTCCTGTAGCAAACTGACTGTGCACAACCTTCAGTTACTACAGTATATAAAATACATTAATAACACACCAATATTTTGCCTGCTGATATTAATTCGGACCTCGTATCTCCAGATTAGCCACTAATGCAGAGAGCCATTACTAGCAGATTACCAAAAGAATAAACCTACTTTTGAAATAGATTACAGCAAATTAGCCTTTAAGCAAACATTGTCTTGGCCTTGTAGCAAACATTGGATAAGGCTGAGAGGAAGAAGCTGTTCAATCATTACAGTGTTTCTTACAAAAGTATTTTCTTTCACAGGTTTTAATATGTTTATTTAAAAAAAACAACTAAAGAAGTACTCTTTACATTCTCGTATCTGATTTTAATAATGTTAATTCTGTTCCAGGTCTAGCCTGAAGAGAAAGCCAAGTCAGAAAAGTCAAAGCAGAACTAACTTCCTGAAATGTAACCAACAGAAAAAGATCAGAGAGATACATTTGTAGCTATTCTGTGTTTATTTTCTACTTCATAACTTAAAGCTGTCAGGAGAAATGAAGTTACACTGCTTTTACGTTCTTTCTTTAGCAGCTATTTTTATATATCCTAAGATTTGCTAATATGTTATACATTGTCAGTGCACTGTTGATCTTGGACATGGCTGGAAAACCAGGCAAAGTTTACCCGTCAACTACTAATCTACTAAAACGGAATTTGTAACCAGTAAGCACCCTATAAAACATGCATTATAATAGAGAAGATCATGACTCATTTTACTGCTATCTACCATAAAGTTTATGTATTTGAGAAAAAACTACTTTGCTTCTTTTTTAGACTAAACCTACTATAAAATTGCTACATACTCAACATACACGTTTTTAACACATCTCATCAAGCGTTTATTTTGTATTTAAAAACACTAAAAAAATCAGTCATGTAAAAACATCTATTTAATCTCTTGGAATTTAGCTCAAATTCTACTTTGGTCACAAATGTAAGAGAGTCTAGTGATCTCATCCTCGTGCTTACAAGGGATGTTTGTGCCCATTACAAAACCACTACACAATCTGACTGTCTCTTCTCAAAAGAGTAAGACATGAATAGCAGGAAGTGTGTCAGCCAGGAATGAGATAGTGACAGAGTGAAGATATTAAGACCAACTCCAGCCAACAATATAAATGTCATTTTCAAAAGCATGAAACTTGTCTGCAAAAGGATTCTAAATAATGCATGGAATAAAGGGGCAGCTTTCATCTAAAAGACTGAATAAAACCAAGAGAATGTTATGGTGTAGACCACATTTTTTTTTTGCATGTTTTGAAGTTTTATGTTCGCACTCAAACACTAGCAAAAGAGGATTCCATGAAGAATGTCAACACCTGCATCCATCAGTTCAACAAGTGCTAATGATAGAAAAATAGTTTTAGCCCTGTAGTGTGATGATGGTAGAGAGAGTTCACCTGAGCCATAAACTGTGATTCAAAAAAGTTAAACTTAAGAAATTTAAACTCAGTAACATCGAAGCGTTATTAAGCAGACATCTTTATTGCAGCGCTGGACGCATGAGGGATATCTCCTCCTAACATGTGTGCACTGAAACAAAAGTTCATCCTTTATATACCTTAAAGACATGAATATTCACACAGTTTCCAAAAAATCACTGCCTCCTTGCTTATCAACTACATTTACATAATGCTGGCGTTGCAAAACTACATTACGCATGCGTGGGGGTCTCGGGTGGTCGTCAGTGATCATTTGGGGAGTTAGGCCCCTAATCCTTTTTCCCTTTTATGGTCACAGGTCTCTTGAGGGTAATTTCTTCTCCTTGGATGTTTGCCTCTTCTGTTGTCCAGCCAAGCAGTTCCTTCTTATCATCCTTGTTAGAACATTCCTGTCAGTCTGTCTCTACACTCAAGGTTAAGGTATCTTCTCTGTTCTCTTTAATCTCTCAGTCCTTGCTCTTAACTCTTCTTTGTCTTAATTTTCATGAGGCCTGCCTTCCCCCTGATTAACTGTTTACACATAGTTACAATGTTGGCATTGAGGCAAATACAGCCTAAGGACTATGAGAATAGGCTGTTAACAATAATAAAACAGTTATTAGCTAAAGAATTCTATACTAAAGTTAAACTAATCATGTAATCAATAACCTTCCATATATTAAGAAATTTGCAAAACTTACTGTTGATTAGTGATACATGATAAAACCTTACAATTTTTAGATCCTTGTTTCAGCTGTTAAAGGCTTCCTTAGCAGAGCTGCTCAGCTGAAGTCAAAAGCTAGAACCTGCAAAGCTGTTACATAAGCACATCCTTCCCAACAGTTCCCCAGTCCATATATTAAAAAAAAACCCACAAAAACCAACAACAAACACCCCACTAATCCAATGCAGGAAGAAGAGAGAAAGAAGTCTGCAAGAAATGATTCACCTCTTCAACCAAATCAAGATACTTTAAGGAAAAGGCTTTAAGAGAAGTCTCTCCTTCTACAAAGATCATTTTATAGATTTTTCCCTAAATATATTGCCTGAGTCAACATAGTCTCCTGAATATATAGCTTCAAAATTTTGAAAATTGAAAAGCTTTTCCATTACATCTTTTTGGTTAAAGAATGTGAATCCAGTTGAAGATAACCACTATACAGCTCACATACCTTCAACATGTATATACTCATTTAAGATTCTCCAGTAGAAGATTAATCACAGAAAACTTCATAAAAGAACTCTCAAAGAAACCCCAAAAATCTATGTTTAGTCTACTCTGCAAAGTAATATGTTTTGAGCAGGCTTCAGTCCTACCAGTTCCTTACTAAATATTTTCTCTTATAGTAAGATTTTATGAACTATTAGAATATTTCGCTAAGCATGTAAATGATGCGTTGTCAATCTTCCCTTGCAGACTCCACATTTCCAGGAATCCTGATTAAGAAAGTATTTCTAACCCTGCATTCCCATCCAGTTATATATATATATGTAGAAGAGACAGGCCAGTAAATTTAAACCCAGTGTCCACTTCAGAAGGGAAGAAAATAGAGCTATATCTAAACATATACAGATCCCTGAGTATTTATTTCAAAAAGTTCCCAAGAACCCTTGAGAAAACCTGGATGAATATAGGATTAAGTTATTTGGTAATAAGAGCAAAGGAAAACAAGCAAGTCTATCTCCTGAACTGTATAGGTTAAATGGCGAACTACTAAAAGGATCCATAAAACCCAGTTACTGATTAAGGAACTTTGATCAACACATGTAGCTTTACACCCTGATTGTACAGCTTTTCTTTCAGCAGAACTTTCTCTTGGCAGTGGTCCTATAATCTAGATTTAGATACTCATCAGCTTTCTGAGACTACTTCATTAAATGGCTGCATGGCAGTCGCAGAAGTGGGTGAAAATGGAGCTTGCTTTCTCCCTCAAATGAGGGGAGGGAAGGATGAGAAGTTCCCTGGGCACAGAGTTGCCACACCTCCCTGCCAGCTCCACTCCTGGGCTCTCGGAAGGAAACAGAGCTACAAGTGCAGCAAATTTAACCAACAGCAGTAATCACTAGGTGATTACAGCAAGACAACAAATGCACAGACACCTCAAAGAGGGGCCATGATGAGCAGCACTCCACAAAACACCCCATTTTTACATGCTGTATGCAGTAATATTTCTTAAGGCAGTTCTTACGGACCTGGTAAGACAAAGTGGCTATGACCCTCTTCTGCGCCAAATCACCAGGCAGAACATTTTAATTCACAGAAGTATTTTTTTACTTTCAAGCTGTTTTGCCAAAATTTTCTACCTATCAGTTTTTTGAGCAACTGCTGGTCACAGTATATCATCCCTCTTTCTGCTAGCCAGTAGGATGCAAGTCTACTATCCTAAACACAAAAGCAGAAGCTTTTTTTTCCCCTGTTCCTATCTGAAGGATCCTTACAAGTTTAACAGCATCTCACTGTGTTTCATCAGAAGCTCCTCAGTATTATGCAGATGAAAAAACTTCAAAATATTTTTGATTAAGCTTCACTTTTGTTAAAACTGAAACCCACAAAAAATTTTACTTTCAGATGCCTGGGAAAAATGCACAACAAAAACTACAAAGTGACAAGCTCCCCATCATAATAAAACTGCTACTTTTACTTTACAAGATACAAGCAGTGGTCTTGGACAAAAATGTATCACAACAGCAGGACTAAGTAGTGCTCTAATATTCTCCCCCTTAAAAACCTTTTTAGGAAATCTTGTGCAGCTGTACTCATAGATAAGAAGTAAAACAAACCCTGACTCTTTTAACCACATCTTCTAGACTGGCAGTCATTCACGATGCTCAGACTTACCACCTCCCTCCCCCCAGAAAACAAAACCCTCTTTCATATATTTCTTTTCCTGACTCCTATTTCCATGAAAGCATCCCACAGAGTGCCTTAATAATTCCGCTCAGTTTGGTCTACATCTAGCAGATTCTCTCACTGTAAAGTAAATTCTTATTCAAGTGAATCTGATATTTAAACATTTCTTTCATGAACTACCAGATTAGACATCTCCTCTTCTGATGATTCTCCTCCTTCCAACAGCGTTTTTTCCCCTGTGCTGGAGCCAGTTCTATTAACAAGTTCTTCTTGGTACAAATTCTTCTGATAACTCATCTTTAACGGCGGCCGGTCACGAGCGGTGTTCCCCAGGG